GGTCTGGGTGGCCTGGGCTGCTATGGCAGAAGGGGCTATGGCTACATCTGCTAAGAGCTCTCAGCCTCCTGATACCAGCCACCCACTCTCTGGAACACATCTGCGGCATTGAGGACACATCTCTGGGCCAAGGCTCTCAAACTGACTCTGCACTTGCCACTCCTGCTCTCTGGCGACCAAGCAAGGCAGTAGCCAAGGGGCCAGCCCGGGCTGCCTGCACACATGGCCCATCTCTGTTCCTGCTCTTTCCCCACTCCCTGCTCTGCATCGCCCCTTCGGCTCTGTCCAGCTCCCTCTGGACAAATCCCTTCTCCCAAGCCAGCGACCATTGGGCACCTCTGCCTGGCTGCTTCCACTGTGGGGCAGGAAGGCCTTGGTGCTCTGGGCAAACCTCACCAAAGGAAGGGGCCTTGGCTGATGGTCGCCCTACTTGCACCTCCGAGCAGCTCCCTTCCACTGCCTGCTCCTGAGTTTTCACTCTTCTACCTCAATAAAGTTTTTCCTGCATCAAAACCTCACAAGACTCCCTCTTCTTTCTCCTCTTTAGACACTTTGAGACTAAACCAATGCTGTTGAGGCTGTTTGGATTGTTGAAAAAGTGCTCCAAGACCTCTTTTCAGAATTATTTCCCCAATTCCACTACCCACTGGTACACTTTACTCTTCCAGTGCCCCACAGCAACTTTTCAGTTGCCTGAACACACGCCTGGATGCCTCAATGCAGGTCTCTCGTGACTCTGCCACAAGGCCCTTGTGCCTGGTGTGCTCACTTTGGCTGGGCACCAGTTCCTCCAGACCCTCATCCACTCCTAAAGCCATTCCCAGATCTGCTGGAGGAGGCCCATGTCTTCCCTTTTTTGTGTCCCCAGAGTGGGACACACAAGTCCAACCTCATCAGAGTGCAGCAGAGGGGCAGAATGTGCTGCCCAGACCTTGGGGTGATAACCCCAGGACATGGGGGATTTTTTGCTCAGCTCATTTATGCGGCAAGGACATGTCCAATTCTTCATCCACCAACATCCCCAGTCATTCTCCTCATGAATGCTATTAATTAACTCATTACCCATCCAACATCCATTACTGAGATTGATCCAATCCAAGTGCAGGACCTTCCTCTTGGCCCTGTTGACCTTCTTGAGCTCCACAGCCTGTCCAGCACCCTCTGGAAGCCATCCCTTCCCTCAGACAATAAACCACACCCTCACTTTGGTGTTATCCCCTATGTTGCCAAGGGGACACTTAAACCCACTCTCCATATCCCTGACAAAGATGGGAAGTTACAATGGTTCCAATGTGAAGATCTGTTGGTCATCACCAATCCCTGTTCTCCACTCTGGGACATGGAGCCAGTGACCACAACTTTTGAGTGAGACCATCCTGCTCATTTCTTATCCAGCTAGAGGTCCAAACATCAACTCCAGCTTAGAGACAAGGATGTTGTCTGACACAAGAACAAAAGCTTTGCACAAGTCCAGGTAAAGGATAGTGGTCCACCTTCCCTCATCCCATTGTGGAACCAATACCAAACCATTAAAGCTATCGCCGAGGTCAGATGGACATGGCCTCAAGAGCAGAACATGGAATTTCAGATCTGTTTGAAGCAAGACAGGCCCAACCTCATGACTCACCAAGCTGTGTCAGGCAACAGCTTCTGCCTGGAAAATGTCCCGGTGTCATGGGCCGGGGCAGTTCCAAACCTTCACCAGTGGATCATCCTCAAGGCCATACTCTTCACCTTCTCCATCAGATTCTTGTCTTCCTTGTTCCCAGTAATACAGAGATTAAGAGTTCTCCAATATCACCAGAGCAAAGGAGCAGAACCTGCTGCACCTGGATTGGAGCAATCCCAAACAAGCAGGATAAAGGTGGGGTGATGGGGGGATTGAGAGCAGGCCCAAGAAGGAGCACTTGGTGTGTTGGTGAGTGAAGAACTGGCTATTGGATGGGATGTGCCCCAGCCATGTGCAGTCACTGACCAGAAATCCCCCAGTGTCCTGTGCTCATCCCCACAGTGTGAGCAGCACAAGAAAATGGGGGAATCCCAGCTTCTGCTCTCCTGCACTAAAATCAGAGTTCTGTGCTGAACTCTGAGCCCACAGACACAAGGAAGACGTGGACCTGCTTCATAGGATCTGTAGAAGGGCATGGAAGAGGATGAGGGACAGAAGCAATTGCTCTCCAGCAAAAGTGAACACACCACCCAGACAGGCTTGGGCCAGGGGCAGGGATAGATCTGTCTTAGTGTATCCAGGTCTGTGATTTAGTAGCTGAAGGATTTGTGGGATGCATGGGAAGAGCAAACTCTGCCAGTGGGTGGTAGAACTGGGAAATAAATAATAAAAGACTTTGAGGAGCACTTTTTCACCCACTCCCAGTGGACTCTGGAAGCCTGGCTGAGAGCTGAGTGAGACTGGATGGGTCATGGGATGAGAAAGAAGGACTCGTGATGCAGGAAAAATTTGTGATGCAGGAAAACTTTATTGAGGTGGAAGACTGAAAGGCTATAAGCAACAAAAGGAAGCCTGAAAGGCCAGGCTGAAGTGCAAGTAGGATGACTAGCCAAAGCCCATTGCATGGAGGAGGTTTTGCCACATCATCAGTGCCTTCAAGCCCCTCATGGTGTGCTGGGGCCCTTTAGCAGTTGTAGCCATAGCCTCTTCTGCCATAGCAGCCCAGGCCTCCAAAACCATAGCCAAACCCACAGCCATAGCCCAGCCCGTAGCCAAACCCGCGGCCGTAGCCAAGGCCGTAGCCAAAGCCACCAAAGCCACCAGAGATGGGCTGTCCCTGGGCACTGAGCTCACTGCCCAGGGCAGCCGAGGAGGTGGATCCGACGGCGGTGTTCTGGGGGAAGGAGGTCATGATGGGTCCTGGCAGGGTGACCAGCACAGGGGAAGGGTTGATGATGACGCGGGAATCCTGGCACTGCAGGGCACAGGGCTCGTTGCAGCTGTTGGCCAGCGGGGTGGGTCCGCAGGGCTGGCAGAGGGTGTTGCAGGCCATGGGTGTGGAGTGGAGGGTCCTGGAAGAGAGAGGGGTGAGGCAGGGCAGGGGTGTGGGAGTGCAAAGGATGGTGATGCCGGAGAGTGATGGAATGTGGAGGCTGTTGTGGGGCTGTGGAGAGGTGTGAGGGCTGCTGAGGCTGGGGCTGAGCGTGCTGGAAGAGAAAGGCCAAGGGTGCAGGAGCAGGAGGATCAGGGGATTGAGACTCACCTGGTTGTTGGCAGGAGAAGGTTTCAGGAGAAGTGTGTGAGGTAGAGAGGCTCTGGGCCGGCTTTTATGCTGGTCCTGTATGGGCGGGACAGCCTCGTCCCATGGCCTTGGGGCATTTTTTAGGCAGCAGATCTCACATGGCCCTGCTTGTTGAGTCATGAGGTGGGGAGTGTTCTTCTTCATCCATTTCTGCAATTCCATATCTTCCTCTTGAGGCCCTGTCCGTCTGACCTTGGTGGCAGCTTCTAACTGGGAGCTGATCTTTGGAAGGGTTTGATTGTTCAGTGTGTGCAAGGGAGGCGTGAATACAGAAGCAGCACCCAGGAAAGGTGCAATGTCATCATGTGGTCATTTTGTGGCAGTTGTCTTCTGTGGTTTGTGGGTTCTTTGTGAAGACTGGGACTCTGTTTTGGGTCACTGGATGTCCATCAGTCATTGTGCTGCAGTCAGGAATGCTGAGGGAGCTGCTGATGTCTTGGGGAGGTCACTCTGCAATAACTTAGAAAGGTCGCAGTGCCTGAGAGCCCTTCCTGGCAGAGGAAAGAGAGCTCCTTTCTTTTGTGTTTTAAATGATGTCAAGAAAGAAATTCTGGAAAACAAGAGCCAATTCAGGGCTGAACTTGCTCCAGTGTACTTGTATTTTGAAATTTACACAATTTACATGACGACATACTCTGTCATTTAGAGTGTATTCCTTGACCTCATTCAGGAATCCAATAAAGAACAAACAGGGTCCGGTCCGTTTTTTCGTAGTCTGGTTTGTGACATTGATTCCTTTTTTCCGCATTCAAGCCACAAGTTTTCAGAACTTGTAATTAGTAAGTCTTAATGTGTTGTTCCTGTGAGCAAAACCCAATAATTACTAACGGACAGCCAGTAAGCTCCTCTTTCCTTCTGTGTCATGGAGCAGTTGTTCCTCTGTGGAATTGTGCAATTTCATGTTCTGCTCCTGAGGCCATCTCCATCTAACCTTGGCGGCAGGTTTTAGTTGCAAGGATTGGAGACCAAGGTGTTGTTGTTGATTGTGCATGTCTTGACACGTAGAAGATTCAACCCCAGCTTAGGAGATTTGGGGTGTCATCACTGAGGTCATTCCATGGCACATTGACATGGCATATTGTCCCATTTGCATTCTTGCCTCCTGCCTGAAAAAATTCCATCTCTCTCACCTTCTCCACATTTTATGGATCCTCCACTCCTTTCTGTTTCATGGTTTCCCTGCACTGCTCTTGGCCAACCATGTCCATGGCCTTATTCCACTGAGGAGCCCAACAATGGTGTGGAACAGGAGGATCAAATCCCTCAACCTGCTTGTATTTATTTTCCTAATCCTGTCCTGGTAACTGCTGGAGATTTTCATAGCTAAGGGTACATGGCCACCTCATGGCCCATTTATGAAATTTCAGTCCAGAGCAGCGACCATATCCCAGGATGCAGAGAAGTAGGTTTGGCCAGAAGGAACAGCTGGGGGTTAGCTGAAGACTTGAAACAACACCCAAATTCCTGTAGGCTTTGTTTGCCTCTACTACATTCAAAACAAAACCAGTACCAATCCCTTGGCCTTTTCTTCTCCCAACTGGTCAAGGTTAAATGGACACGGACTCAGGGGAAGGACACAGAAAAAACATTCTCCACTTCATGACTCATCGGGCTGGGCCAGCCAAGGACTGCTGACTACAAAATTCCCCAAGATCAGGGAAGAAGGCTGTCCCGCCCCTCCAGGACCAGTATAAAAGTCGACCAAGTGCATCTCTGTCTCAGACTCTTCTCACGCCTTCTCCTTCTGCTCTTGCTGACAACCAGGTGAGTCTCAATTCCGTGACCCTCCTGCTTCTGCACCCCTGGCCCCTCTCTTCCAGCAGGCTCAGACCCAGCCTCAGCAGCCCTCACGCCTCCCCACTGCCCCACAACAGCCTCCACATTCCATCACTCTCCTCCATCACTGCCCCTCACATCCCAATACTCCTGCCTCATCCCTTCTTTTCCAGGGATCCTCCACTCCACACCCATGGCCTGCAACACCCTCTGCGGATCCGCCTGCGGACCCACCCCGCTGGCCAACAGCTGCAACGAGCCCTGTGCCCTGCAGTGCCAGGATTCCCGCGTCATCATCAACCCTTCCCCTGTGCTGGTCACCCTGCCAGGACCCATCATGACCTCCTTCCCCCAGAACACCGCCGTCGGATCCACCTCCTCGGCTGCCGTGGGCAGTGAGCTCAGTGCCCAGGGACAGCCCATCTCTGGTGGCTTTGGTGGCTTTGGCTACGGCCTTGGCTATGGCCGTGGGTTTGGCTATGGGTTTGGAGGCCTGGGCTGCTATGGCAGGAGGGGTGGCTACATCTGCTGAGGACCCTCAGCACCACTCCAGACATCACCAGCTTGGGACTCCACAACCACTCTTGCAAGCCAGTCCCTTCTGGTGATGGTTGCTGTACTTGCCCCTTACACTGGATTCCTTCCACTTTTTTCTCCTGCCTCTTCATTCCTTTTCCTCAATAAACTTTTTCTGCATCAAAACCTGAAATGCCTCATGTCCTTTCTTAATTCCAGTGGTGTCACATCCTCACTGAGTTCATTCCACAGCTCAACATTGGGGTACATGGAATAGACCAAAAACACCCTCCCTCATAAATATGTCAAAATAACAAATAACAGCATGGGAAGCAAAGGAGGGAACACCTTCCAGAATCTGTCACACATGCCTTAGCTGATACACCAAAGCCTTGGACACATCAATGCTCTCCTGGGTACAGCTCTGGAAAAATCTTTCCATGCCAGTGCACATTTGAAAAACTCTCTTACCAGGAGGTGTCTTGAACCCTTCCAGCAAACTGAGGAACTTCATCAACCACTCTGGCAGGAAATCTGGAGTGGAAGTGCTTCAACTCCCATGCTCAAGCAGAATCAGCAGGAGCCGAATTTCCAGCACCATGGACAGTTCGGTGTTCGCCCTCTCAGGACAGACACTCCAACACCTCTTCCACTCTGCGGCCACCCTCACAATGAAAGGTTTTTGTATTCTTTGCCCAGGGAATTCGATTTGTTTTCACTTGTGCCTTTGCTCTCTTGCCCTGCACATGAGCACTGCTGTGAACAGCCAGACTGCTTCACTTCATTTCCTGCCATCACTGATCTTCACACTCTGATGACACCCACCATCCATCCTTGTCCCCTGTGAGTCCCAGCTCGGATTATCCTCTAGGAATGATTCTCCAACCCCTTTGGAGTCTTGTTGTCCTGAACTTGTCTGGATTCACTAAATGTACTTCATTTTCACACTGGGGAGCCCAGGACTGCTCACAACACCTCACATGGGACCTCACCAGTGCTGAGGTACAGACAGCTCACTTCTCCCTGCTTGGTCATACACTTTTCCCAATCCTAACCTGGACACTTGGGTTCCCTTTTCCCACACAGGGACACCGTCTGCTCCATTCCTTCTCAACCACAACCACAAAACAAAGGCTTTTTCATAGAAGAAAACAATTGCTCCAACTGATACCCAGGCATTCCTTCTTACCTGGGATGATTCCTCCCAGCAAACAGCCCTTGGCAGAACCCCATAAGACGTCCACCACCTGTCAGGTTTTCTGTGTTGGCCCAATGGATCCAACTCCTGGGCTACGGCACTGGGGACTTGCTGCCCTCTGGACTTTGGGACACTGACCACAGGCCTCCAGGTCCAGCCCTTCAGACCTTTCTCACACATCCACGCTGGGCACTGACACAACCCAGACTTGCCTGGGCTGTTTTTGAGGGTCATGCAATGCTCACCTTCAGCAATCCTAGGCAGCCTCCAAACCTCCTTCCGACAGTCACAAGTGGCCTCGTGTTTTGGCACACAGCCCATGTAAAAATCCAAAAGGCCCCAGATATCAAAAGCTTAAAAATAAGAGGGGCACCGAGACACCCACAGAGCACAGTGAGCAGGAAAGATCAGGTCTAGAGTTAAGGCTTAGCCAGGTGGGATCAATGTGGGGAGGGATGAAATGGGAGGGAAGGGGCAACACCTCCATCTGCAAATTCCAGAGCAGCCTGACAGGGCGGGGAGGGAATGGGGCCCCTCTTCAAAACACATCCACAAACCACAGCACATGAATGTCACGCAGTGACCTGGCTGATGACACTCCACCGCTCCAATGCTTTGGTTATTTACTCTGCCCTCCCTGACAAGAACCTTCCATGCACATCCTCCCAAATACTCACTCACACTTAAGAGTATCTGCCAAGGTGAGAAGGAAAAGGAGTCAAGAGCAGGACGTGGGATCATAGAATTCCATAAAGAAATACCCATATCATGACAGAAAGGGGAAAATTAATTTGCTGAGTATCAGTACTTATTGATTTTTCTCACAGGAACGAAATATAAAGATTTAAAAGTTATACCTCATGTCTTGAATGTGGAATAAGTGAAGTCATACCACAGAACAACCTGGAGTAAAAAGTGATCAGGCCAGGTTTACTTTTTAATTTCTGAACGAGGTCAAGAAATAGATTTTAGTTGTCTGAGTACATTGTCATGTAAAGTTGAGAATTCCAAATGGACCTGAAAAATGGAACAATTTCAGCCTGAACAGCCTTGCATTTTCCAGATACTGTCACTTCATCCCACTGGTGACACAAGAGGATGAGCTCCCTGTCATCCATCAGAAACTGCTCCTAGGTATGAGGACCTTTCCAAGCTCTGGCAGAGGGACCTCCCCAGGACATCAGCAGCTTCCTCAGCATTCCTGGGTGCAGCACAATGACTGATGGACATCCAGCAGCACAGAATATGGGCCCAGTCATCAGAAGGAAGCCACAAACCACAGCACATCAGAGCCACAACGTTACCTTACCTGATGACATTGCAGTTCTCTGGGGTTCTGGTTGTTTATTCATTCTTCGCTGACACACACTCAACAATCAAATCTTCCCAAATACCAACTCTCCCTTTAAGCAGCCACCAAGGTCAGATGGACACAGCCTCAAGGGAAGGACACAGAATTGCAGAATCGCAAAAAGGAAAACACTCCCCACCTCAGGACTCAGCGGGCAAAAGCTGCTGCCTGCAAAATGCCCCGAGGACAAGGGATGAGGCTGTCCCGCCCCTCCAGGACCTGCATAAAAGCCAGCCCAGAGTCTCTGTCCCTCACACACTTCTCCTGACACCTTCTCCTCCTGCTCCTGCCAACAACCAGGTGAGTCTCAATCCCCTGACCCTCTTGCTCCTGCTCCCCTGGTCCTTCTCTTCCAGCACACTCAGCCCCAGCCTCAGGAGATCTCACACCTCCCCACAGCCCCACAACACCTTCCACAATCCCTCACCCCTTACCCCTGCTCTGCTTCACTCTCCTTCTTCCAGGACCCTCCACTCCACACCCATGGCCTGCAACACCCTCTGCCAGCCCTGCGGACCCACCCCGCTGGCCAACAGCTGCAACGAGCCCTGTGCCCTGCAGTGCCAGGATTCCCGCGTCATCATCGACCCTTCCCCTGTGCTGATCACCCTGCCAGGACCCATCATGACCTCCTTCCCCCAGAACACCGCCGTCGGATCCACCTCCTCGGCTGCTCTGGGCAGTGAGCTCAGTGCCCAGGGACAGCCCATCTCTGGTGGATTTGGTGGCTTTGGCTACGGCCTTGGCTACGGCCGTGGGTTTGGCTACGGGCTGGGAGGCCTGGGCTGCTATGGCAGGAGGGGTGGCTACATCTGCTGAGGACTGGTCACCACCTTGGGGCTCTGGCAACAGCTCCTGCAAGTGAAGCACCGTGCCTGATGGTTGCTCTACTTGCAACTTGCACTGGATGCCTTCCCTCTTTTTCTCCTCTGTCTTCAGTCTTTTACCTCAATAAATTTTTCCTTCATCAAGCCTGACATGTCTTCTCTTCTTTTTGATTTCAAATGATCTCACATCCTCACCCAGCACAGTGTGAGGCCTTAACAGGTCATTGGCATAGGCAGAAAAAGGGTTGAAACACCTTTCCTAGGATCTATGTCCCCAGCAGTAATCACAAGAATTGCACAGGAAGCAGGGTGGAAGTGTGACTTTACAGAATATGTCACAAGTCCATCACCTGCTACACCTAAGGCTTTGACACACTAATGGTCTCCTGCTCATGGCTCTGAAAAAGCTGCCATGGCAGTAGATACTTGACAAACTCTCTTCCCCAGCTGGATCCTCAAAACTTCCCTGTAAACAGTCACAAAATCACACATTTTGGGAGGAACACTGGAGAGCAAGAGCTTCATTCCCTTCTGCTCAAGTCAGACCAACAAGAGCAGGAATTCCAGGACCAGGAATTCCAGCGCAGTTCCAGTTCTGGCTCTCCCAGGACAGACTCCAACACCTTTTCCGCTCTCAGACCACCCTCACACCGAAAAATGCTTCTCTTCTTTGCCCACAGAATTAAATCTGTTTTCACTCGTGTTGTTGCCCTGTTATCCTTCACATGTGGGCTGCTGAGGATGGCTGTGATCCCTCATCTTCATTCCCTACCATCAGGGATTTGCACTCACTGATGACATGCCTCTGTCCATCCTTTTCTCCTGGGAGTCACAGCTCTCTCTGTCTCTCATCCGTGAAGGATTTCCCAGCCCCTTTAGAATTGTGTTGGCCATAAAATGTTTTTGTTTCTAAGTCCACGAGCATCTTCCACTGGGGAGCCCAAAAGTGCCCAAACCACACCACATGGGACCCAGTTAGTGCTCTAAAGAGAGGAAGGGCCACCTCTCCTGACTTCATGGAAAGAAGTGTCTGAAATCTATTTTGAACACTGATGATGCCTTTTCAACTAAAGCTTCGATGCAAACTTGGGATCTCTTTGTTCTCTACCAGCACTGCATGGTCCTGCTCAGCAAAGCTGCTTTCCAGATTCTCAGCCCACAGCATGACCCAGGGCCCAGTGCTATTCCTGCCCAGATCCAGAACTTCTAATTTCTCCCTCATGAAATGCAGGAAATTCCCTTTAGCCTCAGTCTGCAGCTCCCTCCGACTGGTGGCACAACCAAGTGGTGCCTCAGACACTCCATCATCTGCCAGCTCACTGAGGGGGCAACCCTCCAACTGCCCACATGGAATGGAAGAGTCCAGGTGCCCACACCTGGCACAGATGCAAAGTCCAGACCAGCCTGACACACCTGGGACAGTTTGGGGCCCCTCTCCACAGCACACCCACAAACCCAAAACCATGAGTTCCACAGGCTGACCTCACTGATGACACCACACTTTACAGATCTTGGTCACATCTTCAAACACGCACCATAAACACCTGCCTTTGGCCTCAAATATTCATATTTTAAAGGGGGAATGACCACGATGGAAGGGGCACGATCCTCATGCACAGCACACACAAAAAAGCCACACCAGCCTGACACGGCTGCGATGGAATGGGGCCCCACTTCACAACCAACCCACAAACTAAACCACACAAGTGCCACAAAATGACCTCACTGATGACACCCATAGTTTTCCTGGGGTTTTTTTTTTTTTTTTGGCAATTTCTGGTTTCTCTGACACACATTTTCCATGCCAATGCTCCCAAATACCGACTCTCAATTTAAAACTGCCGCCAAAGTCAGATGCACATGGTTTCCTTAGAGAAAGACATGACACAGCAGAGTTGTGGAAAGGAAAACACTCCCCACATCATGATTTGCCAGCCTGGGCCTGGCAGAACCTGCTACCTGCAAAATGCCCCAAGGCCATGGGATGAAGTTGTCCCGCCCATACAGGACCAGCATAAAAGTGGGCTCAGAGCCTCTCTCCCTCACACACTTCTCCTGATTCCTTCTCCTGCTCCTGCCAACAACCAGGTGAGCCTCAATCCCCTGACCATCCTGCACCCCTGGCCCCTCTCTTCCAGCACGCTCAGCCCCAGCCTCAGCAAATCTCACACCTCCCCACAGCCCCACAGCACCTTCCACACTTTCCCTCGCCCTCCTGCATCTCTGCCCCTCTAAACCCCACACCCCTGTTCCTACCTCATCCCTTCTCTTCCAGGACCCTCCACACCACACCCATGGCCTGCAACACCCTCTGCGGATCCACCTGCGGACCCACCCCGCTGGCCAACAGCTGCAACGAGCCCTGTGCCCTGCAGTGCCAGGATTCCCGCGTCATCATCAACCCTTCCCCTGTGCTGGTCACCCTGCCAGGACCCATCATGACCTCCTTCCCCCAGAACACCGCCGTCGGATCCACCTCCTCGGCTGCCGTGGGCAGTGAGCTCAGTGCCCAGGGACAGCCCATCTCTGGTGGCTTTGGTGGCTTTGGATTTGGCTTTGGCTACGGCCGTGGGTTTGGCTACGGGCTGGGCTGCTACGGCAGAAGGAGCTGCTACACCTGCTAAAGGCACCACCTTGGTGCTGTGGCAACACCTCCTGCAAGCAAAGCACCCCCGCTGATGGTCTTCCTACTTGCACTTCACACTGGATCAGTTCTGTTTCTTTCTCCTGCCTTTTAATTCTTTTGCCTCAATAAATTTGTTCTGCATCAGAGCCTGACATGTCTCCTCATCTTTGTAAATTCTGATGGTCTCACATCCTCACCTCACACGGTGTCAGACAGGGCATCGGGGTGAATGTAAAAGGGGCACAACACATTTCTTAGTAAATATGTCACCACCATTAACATCCAAGACTGACACAGGAGGCACGGGATTGGGAAGACCTTCCAGAACCTGGCACAAGTCCATCACCTGCTATACCAGACTTTTGACACATTAATGGTCTCCTGAGCACAGCTCTGGTAGAGTGACTCCATGCCAGCACACACTTGGCAAACTCTCTTCCCAGCAGAACTGTTGAACCCTCTCAGCAGAGTCACAAAATCATCCACTTGGGCAGGAACTCTGGAATGCAAGTGCTTCATTCCCCTCTGCTCAAGGAAGTCTAACAAGTGCAGGATTTCCAGTGGACCGTTCAGGTTTGGCTCTCCCAGGACAGGGTGTCCACCCTCACACTGAAAAATTCTTCCCTTCTTTGCCCATGGAATTCCATCTGTTTTCCCTTGTGACCTTGCCCTCTTTTCCTACATGGCTGCACTACTGTGAATAAATGGATTCCATTGACTTCATTCCCTGCCCTCATGGATTTTCATACATTGATGACACCCCGCTGTCCATCCTTGTCTCCTGGAAGTCCCAGCTCTCCCAGCCTCTCCTCTATGGCAGATTCCCCAGCCCTTTCAGTATGTTGGTTGTCCTGCATTTTCATGAATTAAATTTCCCTATTAGGAAACTAAACTTGGGCTAGGGAAACTGAAGTTAATTCCCTCTTCTCTACAGCTTGGTGAAAGGGAGACAAGACTGGCGCTAAAAAATTTCCATTCAGACAATTCCAGAGAGCAATAAGGTCAACCCTCTTCTTCTGAAAATTGAACAGCTCCAGTTCCTTCAGCTTCTCCTGGCCTGTCTTGTTCTCCTTATCTTTCAGCTGTTTTCCTTTCCATGTGTCAGTCAGAACTCGGCACTGTGACCCCACAGTGCGACCATGCTGGGCCCAGATGAGACGACTGCTATGGATCAACCAGCACTGGACTTTGAGGAGCTTGGGTGACCTTCATAAATCTCAGGAATTGCTTTCCCATCTCCACTGAGAAAGGCCTGGTCTCGGGGGTCTGGAGATTGAGATGATCCCAAGATTACAAAAAGTCTTTTTCTCCCAGTGGCCAAAGAAGAAGCTGGAATGTGTAGGGTGGGCTTCTCAAGGTTGTTTATTTTATCTTACCTATAACGTGCTTTCTCAAGGAGCTGTGGTCTGTCTAGCAGGTTAGTCTGTCACAGACTCCCCCCCCGGCCCCCCCCCAACTTGGGGTGGTGTTACCATTTTATACTAAAAGCTACATGTACCATGTTTACAATAACATGTCAATATCTATCATTTATTTTGGACAGTGTGTCTCTACCTTAATCCAATAGAAAAGTGTCACCATCACAGCAAGACGTGGAGGGTGAGAAGAAGGTCAGGACATGCCCAAATCCCTCCATCTTGTTCCCTAGAATCCCTTATTTTAAAACCCTAAAATTCTACTTTTTCACCCTGTGTTAATTCAACTACCACACTACTCAAACTCTTGTGTCTTGTAATTCCTCATACAAAGTTGGCAGTTTTTCCACAGGCTAAAATCGAAGCCACAGATGTTTTTGACTTTGTGCCAAGGTCTCCGAGCCCCCTGCCAGGTTCTTGAGACAGCCAGGGCAGCCAGGGGGATGTCCTGGGTTCCCACAGCCTGGCATACAGACCGGGCAGGAGAGATGGAGCCAAGGCAGGCAGGAATGCACTGGACGGAGCAGCCCCTCAGCCCCAGAACAGCTGCAAAGCCCAGACCAACCTGACATGGCTGACAGGGAATCACAGACTCACAGAAACACAGAATAATGAGGTTGGAAGAGACCTCTAGGATAATCAAGTCCAATCTATGCCCTAACACCTCAACTAGACTATTAGCACCAAATGCCATGTCCAGTCTTTTTTTAAACACATCCAAAGATGGTGGTTCTACCACCTCCCTGGGAAGACAATTCCAGTACTTTATAATTTTTTCTGTGAAAAGTTTTTTCATAATATCCAACCTAAACCTTCCCTGACCTAGCTTGAGACTGCGTCCCCTTGTTCTGTCAGTTGCTGCCCGGTGGAAGAGATTGACCCCACCTGTCTGCAACCTCCCTTCAGTTGCAGAGAGCAATAAGGTCACCCCTAAGCCTCTTCTTCTCCAGACTAAACAACCCCGGTTCCTTCAAACGTTCCTCATAGGGCTTGTGTTCCAAACCTCTTACCAACCTTGCTGCTCTCCTCTGGATGCGCTCAAGCATCTCAACGTCCTTCCCAAATTGAGGGGCCCAGAACTGGACACAGGTCCCTTTCTGCCTGAACACTGTCCAGCCACCCTGTCCCAGCTTGTAACCTTGTAGGGGATTTTTGTGGCCAAAATGTAGAACTCAGCACTTTGACTTATTAAACTTCATCCTGTTGGACTCTGCCCATCTAGCCAACTGATCTAAGTCTCTCTGCAGAGCGCTCCTTCCTTCCAACAGATCAACACAAGCTCCCAGCTTAGTGTCATCTGCAAATTTACTAATGAAGGACTCAATGGCCTCAGCCATGTCGTCTATAAAAATATTAAATAGAACTGGTCCCAGTACAGACCCCTGAGGGACACCACTGATGACTGGCCAGTGGAATGGGGCCCCTCTTCACAACACACACAAAAACCACAGCACACCAGTATCACAGGGTGACATCAGCGATGACACTCCCACCTCTCCCAAGCTTTGGTAACATCTTCACCCCACCCTGACCTGCACCATCAACATCAGTCTTTAACCTCTAATAATTGCATTTAAAAGCTGCCGCCAAGGTCAGATGGACACAGACTCAAGAGGAGGACATGGAATAACAGAATTCCAAAAACAAACACCTGCACCATGACGGGGAAAGGAAGATGATGCTGCTGGGCAGAGCTAGTAATTATTGGGGTTTGCTCACAGGAACACAATGTTAAGCCTTGAAGGACACAAGTTATGAAACCATACAACCTTAATGTGGAATAAGACAACCGATGTCACAGACCTGCCTGGGCATCCAATTCTTGTTTGTTTAATGGGTTTCTTAATGAGGTCAAGGAATATACCTTAAATGACAGAGTACGTTATCATGTACAACTGAGAATTCCAAAAGGGCCACAACATTGGAACAAGTTCAGCCTGAACAGCCTCTCCTTTTCCAGATGCTCTCCCTTCATTGCATTCAAGACAGAATGCCACAAACGCTTTAATCCATCAGGCACTCCCAGGCACTGTGACCTCTCCAAGCTATACTGCAGTGACCTCCCCAGGACATCAGCAGCTCCCTCAACATTCCTGGGTGCAGCACAATGACTGATGGACATCCAGCGGCACAGAACAGAGTCCCAATCTTCACAAGTCACCCGCAAACCACAGCACACGAGTGCCACAAAATGACCTCACTGGTGACATTGTAGTTCTCCAAGGCTATGGTTGCTTATTCAGTCCTCCCTCAAAAACATTTGATAATTAAATCCTCCCAAATACCAACTCTCCCTTGAAAACTGCCGCCAAGGTCAGATGGACATGGACTCAAGGGCTGGACATGGCATTGCAAAGCTGTGGGAAGAAAAACACTCCCCACATCATGACTCAGTGGTCTGAGCCAGGCAAGAGCTGATGCCTAAAAAATGCCCCAAAGCCATGGGACAAGGATGTCCCACCCCTCCAGGACCAGAATAAAAGCCGGCCCAGAGCCTCTCTCCCTCACACACTTCTCCTGACGCCTTCTCCTCCTGCTGACAACCAGGTGAGCCTCAAGTCCCTGACCTTCCAACCCTTGCCTCCCTGACCCTTCTGCCAGCACACTCAGCCCCAGCCTCAGCAGCCCTCACGCCTCTCCACAGCCCCACAACAGCCTCCACACTCCATCACTCTCCTCCATCACTGCCCCTCACATCCCCACACTCCTGCCCTGTCTCAGCCCTCTCTCTTCCAGGACCCTCCACTCCACACCCATGGCCTGCAACACCCTCTGCCAGCCCTGCGGACCCACCCCGCTGGCCAACAGCTGCAACGAGCCCTGTGCCCTGCAGTGCCAGGATTCCCGCGTCATCATCGACCCTTCCCCTGTGCTGGTCACCCTGCCAGGACCCATCATGACCTCCTTCCCCCAGAACACCGCCGTCGGATCCACCTCCTCGGCTGCCGTGGGCAGTGAGCTCAGTGCCCAGGGACAGCCCATCTCTGGTGGCTTTGGTGGCTTTGGCTACGGCCTTGGCTACGGCCGTGGCTTTGGCTATGGTTTTGGAGGCCTGGGCTGCTATGGCAGGAGGGGCTATGGCTACATCTGCTGAGGACCCTCAGCACCACTCCTGACACCACCAGCTCGGGGTCTGACAACAGCTCCTGCAAGCAAAACACCTCGGCTGATGGCTGCCCTACTTCTACCTCAGACCAATCCTTTCAAATACTTTCTCCTGTCTCTCTCTTTTTTTTTTTTTTTTTTTTTTTTTTTTTTGTAAAGATTTCCTGCATCAAAACCTGACATGTCTCCTCATCTTTCTGAATTCCCGTGGTCTCACCTCCGTTCCCTACACAATGCCAGGAACAAATAAACTATTGCAATGAATGGGAAAAGGTCTCAAACCTTGCTTAGAAAACACAGCACCACCAGTAACAATCAAGACTGGTACGGTAAGCAGGGACTGAGGGGAGACACAAACCCTTCACCTACTACACCAAAGGCTTTGACACAACAAATCTCTCTCGCTCATGGATCTCTCCAGCTCTCTCTGGGCCAGTACACACTTGACAAACTTCCTAGCAGGACCCCCTAACCCTCCCCAAAAAATAGGAACAACATCATCCAGTTAGGCAGGAACTCTGGAGTGCAGTTGCTTCATTCACTTCTGCCCTGTCATAGTCAGCAGTAGCCGGATTTCCAGGACATTGGACAGTTCTCAGTTGGCTCTCCCAGAACAGAAGAACTTGATCACCTCTTTTAGTCTGGGACAAACCTCGTACTGAAAAAGGCTTTTCTGCCTTTCCCAGGGAATTCCATCTGTTTCCACTTGTGTCCTTGCCCTCTTGTCCTGCACGGTGCATTGCTGAGAACAGCTGGCCTCCCTCGACTTCATTCTCTGCAATCTGGAATTTGCACACACTGATGGCACCCCCCTGTCCAGCCTTGTCTCTGGGAGTCCCCGCTCTCACAGCCTCTGCTCTGGGAAAGATCCTCCAGGCCCTTTAGAATATTTCTGGCCCCGAGCTGGTGTCAGTTCACTAAATCTACTTCATTTACATGTGGAAAGCCCAGAACTGCTCAGAACACCTCCCATGGGACCTCACCCAATGCTCAGGAGACACCAAGAGTCACCTCCTCCTGCTTCATCACAAGATTTTCCCAATCCTAACCATAAAACTTGGGGTCCCTTTTCCCACAACGGTACAGGGACACCTCCTGCTCCATTTTTTTCTCACTCAGAACACAAGGGTGATTTCTCAGAAGAAAACGATTACATTTGATATTCATACATTCCTTTCTGATGGGATGACTCCTCCCAACAAACAGCCCTTGGCAGATGCTCTTTCTGAGCTTCAGCACCAGATTTTCAAGATTGCCCCAACAGATCCAACTCCTGGGCTACAGCACTGGGGGCTTGCTGCCCTCTGGACTTTGGGACACTGACCACCAGCCTCCGGGTCCAGCTCTTCAGCCCTCTCTCAGGCCAGCAGCACACTGGGTCCTGACACAGCCTGGACTTGCCTGGTTGTGTCAGGAATGAGAGACTCATTGGATTTTTTCAGTCTTCAGCTTCTGTTTACTGCTATCTTATCAAAACTTCAGCACACTGCCTGCACCAGGTTCTGTGTGCAGGATAAAAAGCAAAAAAATGGCTAATAATGTCATGGTACAATGCCTTTTAAGTCTAATCAAATACTAAACTACCCAATTAAGAAGTAACACCTAAATTATTTTCCTTTCTAACGCAGTAACTGACCCCTTAAGACCCACAATGCAGATTTTTTTACCCAAATACAAGATACCACCTAAACCCAAGGAGAAGGAAGAGGAAGGAAGAAAAATGAACTCGAGACAACAACCTATACCCTCCATCTTGAACCCATCTATAACATACTAAAAATCCTAAAACCTAAAATTCTCACCCATGTGATGTACTAAACTACTCTCTACAATCTATTTCAAAGTTTTGTGGTTTCTAATTGATCTTAAGGTCTAGGAAATTTTCTCCATGAATGAGGGTCAAAGTCAGTGCTCCCCTGTGGGTCAGGACATGCCAGAGCAGACAGAGGAATATTCCCAGTGTCCTGGGTTTCCACACCTGGTTGTCAAAGATCATGAAATGCTCACCTGAAACAACCCAGGCTGACCTCCCAATCCTCCTTCTGACAACCACAAGTGGCCTGAGCCCTTTGCACTCAGCCCAAGTTGAAACCTCATTACCCTGGATAGCAAAAGCTTAAAAGCAAGAGGAGCACCAAGATACCCACAGAGGAGAGTAAACAGGAAAAGTCAGGTCTAGTGTCAGGCTTATCCAGGTGGGATCAAGGTGGGGAGCAATGGAATGTGGGGGAAGAGGCAACACCTTCAGCACAGCTGCAAATCCCAGAGCAGTGAGACAGGGCTGGGAGGGAATGGGGCTCCTCTTCACACCCACAAACCACGGCACAAGAGCGTCACGGGGTCATTTCATTGGTGACACCACACCTCTCCTGAATTTTGGCTGTTTACTGGGGCCAGCCTAGCACCAATGTTCCATGCAAACCATCTCAAATACTAACTTGTGCTTAAAAGCCGTGGTCAAGGTTAGATGGGAAAGGCTTCAAGAGAATGATGTGGAATCATAAAATCGCATGAAATGCTGATACCACGACAAAGAAGGAAAGAGGAGCACGCTGACCAACAGGTAGTAATTACTGGTTTTTGCTAACACGAGCACAGTATTGAGGTTTAAGGGATGTAAGATATGCAGCCCTACAGTTTGAATGCAGAATAACAAAATTGATGTCACAGACCAGCCATTATAAAAAAAGGATCAGACACTGTTGACTGATGGGGCTTTTTTTATTTCTTAATGATGTCAAGATGTAGACTTAAAATGAAAGCATTCATTATCAAGTAATTTTCTGAAATCCAAATAGACCCTAAAAATTAAACAAATCCATCCTGACCAGCAGCTGATGTTCCAGTTTCTCTCCCTTGATCTCATTCAAGAAACAAAGGGATGAGTCCAGGCTTCACAAGCCACTCAAAAACCACAGTACATAAGTGCCACAAAATTACCTCACTGCTGACATCACACCTCTCCTGACCTCTGGTTGTTTATTCAGCCATCCCTGACACACACTGAACAATCACATCCTCCCAAACACCAACTCACTCTAAAGCTGCCGCCAAGGTCAGTTGGAGGCACAGACTCAAGAACAGGACCTGAAACAGCAGAAATGTGGTGAGAAAAGCAATTCCCACCTCATCGCTCACCAGGTTGGGTCAGCAAAGAGGTGCTGCCTAAAAATGCCCCAAGGCCATGAGACAAAGCTGTCCCACCCCTTCAGACCAGTATAAAAGCCTGCCCAGAGCCTCTCTCCCTCACACACTTCTCCTGATTCCTTCTCCTCCTGCTCCTGCGGACAACCAGGTGAGCCTCAATCCCCTGACCCTCCTGCTCCTGCACCCTTGGCCTTTTTCTTCCAGCACACTCAGCCCCAGCCTCAGCAGATCTTACACCTCCCCACAGCCCCACA